GGAGGAGAAGGTCAGGAATACTGAGAGTGCCCTGTGAGATCGGACTTGGGTTATCTTAGTAGGAATATTTTCAGTTGGATGGGGATTGGGTGTAGACTGGTGAGGTGGAGTGGGTTGGGAAGATGGGGGAGCAAGGGTTGAAGAGGCATGAAGAAGTGGTAGAAGTGAGAATTTATACAATATCATCAGGGGGAAGAAGAGCAAAGAGAGAGTTTCAAACTTTAAAAGTGAATTTCATCTTTTTTTCATATTTAGCTCCAATTAAATCCTAACATTAATCATGTAATATTTCAAATAAAATTCTACTGTTCTGGCTTCACAGGGCTTTCCAATATATCCCAGGGAGCCACTGAGGGAGCTAATCTTCCCTTCTCACACCTCCCTCATTCTCTAATACTCTTTCATCTGTGTGAAGAGTGCGGAGTAGCCCTGGGGCTGCGGCACCCAGGTCAGCACCACTGCTGTCCACAGTAACACGTGTCCACACAGCACAGGGAATTGAATATGGTGACACCAGACTCACTCCAGCCTCAAGAAATCCAGAGATTTCATCTGTGCTGCTAGCCTTCCTTGACCCCCATACTAAGGCCCAGGGAGAGGCAGGGTGGGTCTTCCATCTCTGTGTCTCCCGCACCATTTAAGCATTCCTCCCTGTGATCCAGATCTACACCCCACAGCCCAGAGAATCAGGCTTACAGATGTGGGCCGTCAATTCTACAAGGAGGTTTAGGTGTGCTGTAACCATTAGGGCAGCTTCTTTTTTTAGGCTTCTCTCAGTAGTTATAATGCTACCCTTCACTTATCGTTGCTTTTTTTGGAATGCTAGATGTTTTTAATATAATAGCACAACATTGTTTTTGAAAATTACAACAACGGCATTCCTGGATGTTTGCAGTAATATGTGGGTAGACGCCGGAGTTAGATTTAGAGAACCCCTGCATTTCCAACACCGGGTGTGGGTTAGCAGGTAGATTTCTGAATATTTGTATTCTGAGTTTTTTATTTCTCAGTTTTCATGTTATCTTGAAAGTTAATGATAGAGAACAATGGCTACAAGATGCATATAAAATGAAGGAAAGAATTGAGGCAAAGTTAGAAAAACGTAGGTATCCTAGTCTGTTCAGGCTGCCACAACAAAATATTGTAGAGTGTGTGGCTTACACGACACAGATTCATTTTCTCACAGTTCTGGAGGCTAGAAGTCCAAGATCAAAGTTTTAGCTGATTTGGTTTCTGACAAGAGCTCTCTTCCTGGCTTTTCTGGAAGCCAGGATATTCTTACCTGGCTTATCTAATCACCTACTCACTGTGTGCTTACGTGGCCTTCCCTTGGTGCATGCACATGGAGAGATCTCTTTTTTTCCCTCTTCTTATAAATAGGTCACCAGTTCTGTTGGATTAGAGTCCCAACACTATGACCTCACTTAACCTTAATTACCTCCTAAAGACCCTATCTTCAAATATGGTCACATTGTGGGAGTGAGGGGCACAAGTCAGTCCACAGGAGTAGGTGTACATTATAATACTTACATTATTATTTGAATGTAGAAGACTGGAAGGAAGTGGTGGTGGTAGTGGTGAGGGATGAGTATAATGAGAATAATTTTCTATGAAATTTCATTACTTTCTTCTTAGTGTCTAGAGAAGTCACCTTGAATTTAAAAAACGAAAGTTTTGTTACAAAATGGGCAGGTGGGTACCCAAAAGCAAATTGCTAATTTTTTCTATTTCTGGACTTTTATCCCTACCTGGCAGTAATGCAGTGGAATCCTCTACTCCCCTGCTGAAGAGCTGTCATCAGAGGTCAACAAAAAAGTCAAATTCTCATAAAATCCCAAATTTCCAGTTTTATTAGAAAATCACTCACTATATCAATAACCAGCAACATGTCAACTTAAATGAAAAAAGACAATCAATTGACATAAACACTGAGATGGCAGAGATGTTAGAATTGTCTGAGAATAATTTTAAAGCAGTTATCATAAAAGTGCTTCAATAAGCAGTTATGAACACATTGTAAACAAGCAAAAAAAAATCTTTGCAAAGAAATAGAAGACATAAAGAAGAACCAGATAGAAATTTTGGAATTGAAAAATACAATAACAAAAATACAAAACTCAATGGATGGGATCAACAGCAGAATGGATGGGGCAGAGAAAAGAATCAGTGAATTTTAAGATAGAAATATAGAAATAATCCAATCTGAACAACAGAGAAAATAGATTCATCACTCCATACTACCCCCCCCCAAAAAAACCCAAATAGAGTCTCAGACTTGTGGGACTTTAACAAAAGATTTAACCTTCATGCCATCCAAATCTCAGAAGGAGAGGAGAAAGAGGGCAGGGTTGAAAAAGAATATGAAGAAATAGTGGCTAAAAATTCCCCCCATTTATGGCGAAAGACATAAACTTACAGGTTCAAGAAGCTCAGCAAACCCCAAATAGAATAAGCCCTAAGAAATCGACACCAAGACACATCATAACAGAACTTCTGAAAACTAAGACAATGAAAAAATCTGGAAAACAGCAAGAGAGAAATTACACCTTATCTATAGAGAAAAATAATTTAAATGATAGTGATTTCACTGGAAACCATGCATAAAAGAGCAAGTGGCAAAGTCTATTTCAAGTGCTGAAAAAACAAAACAAAACAAACAAAAAACACAACAACAAAAAACCCCTGACATTCCAGAACTCTATGTCCAGTAGTAATATCCTTCAGGAATGAATGAGAAGTCAAAGTATTCTCAGATAAAGAAAAAACAAAGAAAATTTATTGCCAGCAGACCTATTCTAAAAGAATAGTTAAGGATGCCCTCTAAACATAAAGAAAGTGATAGGAAGAAGAATCTTGGAAAATCAAGGAGGAAGAAATAACAATAGAAAGAGTAATAATATGAATAAATACAATAGATTTTCCTTCTCCTTTTGAGTGTCCTAAATTATTTATGACAGTTAAAGCTAAAATTGGAACACTAACTAATGTGGTTTTAAATGTATGTAGAGGCAATATCTAAGACAATTATATTTGGGATGGTTAAAGGAACATAAAAGGAGGTAAGGTTTCTACACTTGACCCAGTCTGGTAATATTGACACCAGCAAACTGTGATGAGTTACGTGTATTTAATGTACTACATACAGTAATCATAGAAAATAGTTATGTAAAGAGATACACTCAAAAACGCCATAGATAAACCTAAATGAAATGCTAAAAAAAAAAAAGTTATGTAACCCATATGCATAGAGAAAGTAATAATGGAACAAAATAAATAAATAAATAAATAAAATGGCTGAATTGAATCCTAACATATCAATAATTGCATTAAATGGAAATAGAAGATATTTGCAAACCACTATTGACAAAGGGCTGACATCAAGGATATAAAAAGTACCCTTAAACTCAACAGCAAATAAACCAGACAATTCATTTAAAAAACGGGTTAAACATATAAGAAGACATTTCACCCAAGAAGAGACTGGGATGGCAAACAGCACAGAAGATATTCAACATCATTCGCTTTTAGGGAAATGCAAGTTTAGATTCAATGAGATATCACTACACACTTAGTAGAACAGCTAAAATAAAACACAATGACGATACCAAGTGCTGGCAAGGAGTGGAGAAACTGAATCTCTCATATATTGCCGGTGGAAATGTAAAACGGTACAGCCACTTTGAAAAGTAGTTTGGCAATTTCTTAAGAGCCTAAATATACAAACCATATACTCAACAACCAAATCTCTTGGCATTTCCCAGAGAAATGAAAACAT